GGCACAGCAATACTAAACTTCATTTGGTATTCCAGAGGTGGTTTGATGCTGATAGAGATGTCAATTTGGATACATTAATAAAACTGTGTGATGACTTTCCTGATCAACTGGGCAAAGCAAAATCTAAACTTCTGGCATATATAGGTATATTATAGATTTAGAAGCTTATTATTCCTAATATTCCTGAGAGTCTATGGCAATGGCCCTTAACTGGTGTGCATGCATATATGCAATATTGATGTTTAATTATATGCATCAGTTGATATAATTGAATTATTAATGATCACAATTTAATCTAATGTCTTATGTCTCTGCAGGTGCTAAGGAAAATAAGCGAAAATTGGCAGAAACTGATACAAGGTAATCGTAAATGAAAATGAATAGATCGAATATTATCAACACAAACCGTTATGTTGGCTACTAGCTATTACCCATATTTTCCATCTACTACTTTAGACAATATAATGCCAAGAAATTAAAAGTGGAAGAGGAAGATGAAGACATGCCAGATATCAATTGATGCATGAAATTAAGATCTTTACATCATTGTATTATACATAATTTAAAAATTAAAATTTGATCAGAATCAGCTCAAACTTTCTACAGCATCCATGCAACATAAAAACATGTAGATATATATGTATCAGAAAAAAGTATTAAAACAATAAATTCTCTCCTTTTCAATTTTGGCAAAAATTGGCCCATAATACTGTAAAGGGACTTTGGCCTGATTTTTGAGCAACTTTTAAAAATTGTAAAAAATTTAAATTTAATCTATGATCTGCTCAAATTTTCTACGCAATGTAAGAACATGTATATGCATCAGAAAAAAATTATAAAAGTGGAGAATTCTCTCCTAATCATTTTTTGAAACAATTGGCCAAATAAAAATGTCTAGAGTAATTAATTTTGCTATTTAAGCAAACCTAAACACCGTCACCCACACACTAGACCTCCTCCTCTTTTAAAAGGATGGAAGGCAGCGTGACGTGAGTCACAGAGTCAGGCAGGCTGAGGCTAGTCAGGCGGGGCCTTCCTCTCGCCTGGCCGGCCTGCCTACTAGTAAGCGGCTGTAAGTGCATCAGGAAAAAAAGGGAAAGAAGACATCTAAACTGATAGCAGCCCTGTCTTTTATTGCTTTCCTCCTCCTCCTCTTTCACTCTCTCTCTTTATTAAGACACATCTTCATGGCAACATCGACAGGTAAACAACAATAGCAACTTTGTATAGATCTACTTGTATATTTACTGGTGCAGACAGACCTTGCAAATGGCCAGAATGGCTTTTCAGTTTTAGTTCTAGTTTAGTTCTATAATATAGGTGCAAGAATTGCAAATAGTTCTTGTTCCTTTTTAGACTGTAACAAGTATAGATCTAGTCCTAGTTTTTGTTATTGCCGGTAAAAGCTGTTGGTTTAGTTTAGTTATAGCTCCTTATGTATAACTTGAGTGTTTGATCCATTCACAAGTTAAGGCCCTTTTAAAAGTAAGGCATATTATATCCGGGCCAGAGCCAGGCCTGAGTGTTCACACTGGAGTGGTTTCAAGTCACTGCCTATCAATAATATGCACACATTAGTTGTAACTTGATGTGATGCATTGTGATCAATATAAACCAATGGAACACAAAGCCAATTAACTAAAAAGTAATGGCAGTAATACACAATATAGTGTGAATTTAATTGACAAGATGTGCATATTATTGCAGCTGTATAGCCTTTTAACTGAGGTCAAATAATAATAATGACAGTTTACTTGATAAGATAATCTAACAACATTATATCCTATCTTATTGTTATAGGCAAAGAGTGTACTGAGGCAGCAGTCCAACAAATATTTGATCCTTCTGCTAGCCATTACAAGCTAATAGGGACTGCATTGAGTGTAAAGACGGATGATCTGATGCCAATACCAGGAACAGCAACTACCAATCTTAATTTGGTATTCGAGAGGTGGTTTAAAGCTGAAAAGAATCGCACTTGGGATGAATTAATACAGCTTTGTGATAACTATTCTGATAAACTGGGCAGAACAAAGGCTAATCTTCTGGAATATATAGGTAAGAATTAATCATAATTATTAATTTTTAATACTTTAAAATAATTGTAATAAAACATTATTCTTTTCATATCAGGCAAGGCAGGCTTGGGAGAAAGCAATGGGACAGCACAAGCAAATGCTAAAAAGCAAAAGATTGATCCCAAGTAAATATCCTTTACTGACTCCAATTAATGAATCTGTTGTTGTATTTACAGAGAACCAGTTGATAGTGCAGCAACTGGTGAAGACAAGAGTAAAAGTGAGGACCAAAGTAAGTTAGAATAATTTGATAATTTCTAATTAACATGAACAATAGAATCAGATCCACCTCCAGATGTCAGTGAATATTGCCCAAAACTGGAGGATATTGAACGAAAAATTAAGAAAAAAAAATTCAGAGATCTGACCGAAGAAGATAAAGAGTTTATAAAAAAAGTCCGCTACATTTTGGTGACTGCCACAGATATAGAATACCGTGCTGTGATGGGTGCAATTGATTCTCCTGGAGGTGATGGTAATTACGTTAGAGTTATCACAAAAGATAAAGTGGCAAATTTTATCATGGCAAAATTTGGGCCGTATAATCTTGCAATAACTAGGACAGGCCAGGGCCCAGATGAGACTGAAGCAATTCTTGTTTCAGTACAAAATGACACAAAAGCTAAGTATGTCATTGCTATTGGGATATGCTATGGAGCAAAGGAGAGCAAAACAAAAGATCTTGGTGATAAAACAAACTTAGGTGACATTATCGTTGCCAAAAGTATTGTCGACACTGCACATCAGCGTATTGAAGGAAAGGACACAATCGTTTTAACTAACACATACCCATGTGGAAAGAAACTTTTTAATTTGTTCAAACACGACGAAGTCTTTGAATTTGAAGGTAAAGCTGTTAAAGTTCATCATCAAGGTGATCTGGCCTCTGAATTCACACTGTTTCGTAGCAAAGAAGCAAAAGAAGAGAAGTTGAAATATGTCCAAAAAGCACTTGGAGGAGAAATGGAAGCAAAGGGTATTTATAAGGCTGCTGAGAGAGTAAAATTTGAATGGATCGTAATAAAAGCTATCGTCGACTGGGGAACAGAAGAAAAAGACAAGAAGTGGCAACCATTTGGAGCTGTCTCGTGTGCAAGGTTTGTCCTACAGTGCTTGGATGACGAGGATGAATCATAAGTATTAAACTTATTAATCTAAACTAGTTTGATATTGACATAATTATTAATTATTTGTACCTTTTAGATCTTTCTTTTACTAGAGATAAACATTAATTTTTTGTGAGGTGATGTTAAACAGCTAGCTTTGCTACATCTGTTAGCTATACCTGTGACAGATGAATGATAAATGCACCTATTGTAACAGTGTCCCTTAAAGAGAAAGAAATGGGGTAGGCATAAGATAACATTATACAAACCATCCCCTCCCTCTTTGCTCATGTAGAACTGTGTACATATACAAGTATATCACATTTCCTCCCCTTTCTATCACTATAGCTATGTTACTGTCAGAGCTCATTAACTAGTACTTAGTTTACATACTGATGGCAGTTTATCTGTTATCAGAATCAGACAGCACTTTATGGCTCACCCCCCTCTCTCTCTTCCTCTGATCTAGATCATCCCTTTCTCTTCATCCCATTTCTCACTCACTCTCTTCATGCTATATGACATATCAATGCTATGATTAGGCATATAATGTATTAGTAATGAAGAGACAAAATGATAGGAATATGTAAATAGTGACAGAAGAGAAGGAAATAACAGCATTTTATTCACATTATACTATAGTGAGGGGGAGAGGTATAGAGAAATGTGATAGCTATGCCCTATGCCAACTCTTCAGTAGTAGCAGTTATACTAGTAGTAGTAATAGTAGCTAGTGTATGATATAGTGTATAATATCATCTGACTATATTTATTAGGTGAATATTTTAATGGACCATGTTGTCCCTTTATCTTTAAAGTTTATCATAACATTTCCTTTCAGTAAACATAGCCATGGCTAAGTCCAAATGCTTTCTGTTTATGTAGAGTTTATATACATACAGGAGATGATATGAGGAGCATTGTTGGTATTAGTCATCAGAATAAACCAACAATGTATGTAGGACAAGGTAAGTGTATGTATCTGCCTTTTATAAACATTCATGATTATTAATATATGAACCTTATTCATGCTGTATCAAGTACTGGAATCATTGTACATTAATGATACACAATATAATCTTCAGTATATAGCAGTACATTACTGTACATAAGGAATAAAGATGAATGGTAGAATAGTTCACATGCTACAGTGAGGGGGAGAGGTATTGAAATTTGATAGGAATGTCCTGTATAAACTCTTCCCTCTTACAGTATTATGATGCATGTGCATGTATCAGAAAATGTAATTTTAAAAGTGAATTATTTTAAAGGAAAATTTAGCCAAAGACCATGTACTACAGTACATGTATTTAAGCTGAATTTTTGAGTAACTTTAAAAATTTTTTAAATAATTCAATTTTGATTGGAATCAGCTCAAACTTTCTACACAACATAAGTACATGCATATGCGTCA